AGGATCAAGCCAAATGTTATGCTCAGCAATCAGTGTAGAGTCTGCTTGAGATTCTCTCTCCCTCTCCCTCTGCCCCTCCCACTTATGCTCTCTACCTAAAATAAATAAATAAATCTTAAAAAAAAAAAAAAAAGTTCCTATTTGATGCCAATACTGTTGATCCAAGGACTATATTCTTTGAATATAAGGGGTAGTTTTTGTAAACTTAAAAAAAAAGGATGAGGGAACCCTTCTACACTGTTGGTGGGAATGCAAACTGGTGCAGCCACTCTGGAAAACAGTATGGAGATTCCTCAAAAAGTTGAAAATAGACTCAGCAATTGCACTACTGGGTATTTACCCCAAAGAAACAAATGTAGTGATCCAAAGGAGCACCTGCACCCCAATGTTTATAGCAGCAAAGTCCACAATAGCCAAACTATGGAAAGAGCCCAAATAGCCATCAACAGATGAATGGATAAATAAGATGTTGTACATATATATGCAATGCAATATTATGCAGCCATCAAAAAATGAAATCTTACCATTTACAACAACGTGGATGGAGCTAGACGGTATTATGCTAAGCAAAGTAAGTCACAGAGAAAGACAATTATATGATCTCACTGATACATGATATGGAATTTAAGAAACAAGGCAGAGGATCATGGGGAAGAGAGGAAAAAATGAAACAAGATGAAACCCAGAGAGGAAGACAAACCATAAAAGACTCTTTTTTTTTTTAAGATTTTTTATTTATTTATTTGACAGATAGAGATCACAAGTAGGCAGAGAGAGAGAGAGAGGAGGAAGCAGGCTCCCCACTGAGCAGAGAGCCTGATGTGGGGCTCCATCCCAGAACCCCGGGATCATGACCCAAGCCGAAGGCAGAGGCTTTAACCCACTGAGCCACCCAGGCGCTCCAAGAGACTCTTAATCGTAGAAAACAAACTGAGGATTGCTGGGGGGAGGAGGGTGTAGGAATGGGGTAACTGGGTGATAGACATTGAAGACGGTATGTGTTATAATGAGCAAGGGTATTATATAAATAAGACTAATGAATCACAGACCTGTACCCCTGAAACAAATAATGCATTATATGTTAATTTTTTTTAAAAAGTGTGTTATCTTAGCTGTCCACTTGAACAGAAAAATATTCAAAGACAGATACTACAACTCCTTTTTCTTAGCATATACACCCCATAACAAGAAGGTGCTCAATAAACACCTGTGGACTTACCATATCTACAGTCCCCAGAACATCAGATAACCTCTAGAATGTCTGTGCTATGCTGATTTTCAAATCAAACATTGAGACATGCTAAGACGGAAAAGCTCACTTGGTCACTGGAATTGGAATTGCTGAAAATGGAGGCAGGGAAAAATCTGAGAGAAAACTTACCTCTTCACCAGTGAGAGTGTAAGATGCAGAAAAAAAAAACAACATACAAATGGACATTTGTTCCTTGTTTAAGCACAAAGATAATTAGAGTTCAGTATTAACTGCACTTCAAATTTAGGTATGAACCTTAAAAGAAGACATGCATTTCAGGCAAAACGTATATATATTTAAAATACTAGTAACAATTAGTAATAAGGGATTTCATTTTTTAGTGGAGCAGATACATATTTTCAATGATTCTTTACCATGCAATTAATCTAAAGATCTCAAGCAACCAATGAAAACACATTTTAAACAAGAGACAGAAACAACCTCCAATTTTCCCATCAACTTAGTCTGTGGAAAAGTCCCCAAATTCCATTGTCCTTAATTACACTGATAAAAATTTGAAGGAATCTGCTATATATTAAGGTTGCTCTGAGAGCCTGCCAACTTTAAGCCCTTCTTTTAAATCTCCAATTATTTAAATGCTTCTTAAAACCCTCTTTATTTTAGCAATCTATAGTTCAAATGGGACCAATATTCTTAAATTCTACCAGGAAGCTACACTCTGACTTCCTATTCAAGCATCAGGAAAATAATATTGGACATATATGACACCTGTTCACTGAATGCTATCTAGATAGCTTAAACAGTGAGACAAATTTGCTAAAATTTGCCATTAGAGGAAAAAGCACCTTTTTAAGTCACTGTACTTATCATAAGCAGACACCTGCTCCTTAACTTATAGAGAACTTTCAATAAAACCATTCAAAAATATTTAACTGAGGTGCTTTTAGCAAATTCAGGCAAGAAAGAAAACAAAATCTGCAATCCTGAGAATTGCTATTAAGCATAGAAACAAAGAAGCATCAAATGCCGTCAAGCTCTAGACTCAAACTGGGTTTATGAGTTTTAATAAATCAATGTTATTACTACAAAGAAAATCAGAAAACGGTTGGGAGTCAGCCCAAAGGAAAATGGCTTCTATTGCTTCCATCAGAAGTTTAGTCCCCAGGGCAAGGCAAATTCTCTGGTTCATGCCAGGCAGGCAGTTTTCCTAGAGAAAAACACTATCCAAAAAGAGTTTTGAATCCCAAGCAATAGAAGCAGTTAGTGCTAAACACAAATCTCAGCAACCACATCATGCCCACACAGATGAGTATCTTCCTACCTGCTGGTACCTAACAGGTAATTAAACCCAAAACAAATGTCTTCATCAGAACAGGAGATCAGGACAAGGTACATGAGTGTCAGATTCCTGCATAAAAAATGAAGCATCAATATTCCTATTTCTCCCCTCCTTTTCCTAGCCTTTCTTCAAGACTCATCTTTTAGGGGCACCTAGGTGGCTCAGTTGGTTAAGCGTCTGTCTTCGGCTCAGATCATGATCTCAGGGTCCTTGGATTGAGCCCTGCATTGGGCTCCCTACTCAGCGGGGAGTCAGCTTCCCCCTGCCACTCTGCCTATTGTGATTTCTCTCTGTGTGTGTCAAATAAATAAAGAAAATCTTAAAAAAAAAAAAAAACCCTCATCTTTTATAAAGCTTTCTCCAATAACTCTGGCTCTCACAATCACTCTATTTATTGAATGCCTAAAACATTGGTCTGAAATAATAATTGTAGAATAATTTTTTTAACTGTTCATTTCATGTCTCCATTTTGTCTCCAAATTTCAATGTGAGTTCTTGGTAAGGCCCCTACTCTGCCTACCCTGTAGAGGGAGCCTATTATTAATATTGCCAATAATATAATGATGAGGCAAACTTATTATTGTATTATTGGCAATAATGATAATACATTATTAATATTATATATATTGTGAGGCAATACAGCATAGTGGAATGGCAATACTGGAGTCAAATGGGCCTAAGTTCAAATCCTAGGTCAACTATTTGCTGGCTGTATGACTGGGAACACGTTACTCACTTTTTGTAAGCCTCAGCTTTGTGTTTAGAATTTAATGAGACATATATAAGAGCACCTAGTAAGGGTCTGACATATAACAGTTGCTCAATAAAACTTAGTTACCTACCTTTCTCATTTAATAAGCACTTGTAATTTAAACTAAGAATAATCTTCCTATGGGACTACCAATGGTACCATCATATACTCTTATATCTTCCTCATACACTCTTGCCAGTTCCTCTGTCATTTCCTAACAAAGGTCCCTTAAGATTTTCTACTCCATTGTTCTGAGAAAAGGCAACTACACAAGTCACCCAAATGACTATTCAGAATGGTCATATTAGGAGCCAGCAGGAATGCATCTCCACATCTACAGCTCACTTCCATTACACCCACGCCAGTACTCCCTCCCTCCAAGTCTCCCTGTGAGAAAATGAAAGAGAAAAGCAGTAAAGCAGCCAAAAGAGGAAATGGAGAAAAACAATTCTGTGGTCCCTCTGTGTCTCACTCTCAGGAGGAAGCACTTGGGTCCAGGCTCTTACCTCAACCTTTCTGAGAAAGTAAAAAATAAAACCCTTCCCATATTCCTGAAGAAGAAGCAACCCAGATTTCTTGCCTCTTCACTTCTTCAAGCCCTTCCTTCACCAGTCAATTCTTCCATCACCACCGACCCCAACCATCCCTGGGCCAACTTCCTGCTACGTGACATAGAACCTCTTTAACCTGATCTGTCTTGAATGAACCCCATTCATGCTTTTACTAACTAGAGGTAACATTTTCCAGAAGCCTTCACCATTCTAAGTTGCAATATCCCAAGAAAGAAGAAAGAAAGAGAGAGAAAGAAAGAAATTCTCCAAGTTGCTGTCTACTACATTAAGGTAGATCTTTTTATTTGTTTGTACCCCTTTAATGATCCAGAATATTTTACCTCAGTCATCATCTTTCCAGCTGGAAAAAACCACCTTCACTTTCACAACTCTCCCCATCCTCCCACCCCGCCGCCACACACACACACACAAACACACACACACGCTTTTTTTTTTAACTAAAACAAAAACAAATTTAAAAAACCACAAATCCCCTCCGTGCTTCAAAAAACCAAGCATTTTATTATTCTTAAACGGACCTCAGCCATGCTCCTCTGCAGCAAGCTCAAGTACATACACATGGGCTCTCACATCCGTGCTTCGACCAACGTAGATGTCAATACTGATACAAGCCTTCATCCAGCCAGGTGAAAACTACCCCCATCACCCTCTCCCTCGAAACACTCATTTCCACCGCAAATTCACTCCGTGACTCACGATGTACAATCTTTTGTATTGGCTTTAAATGTTTCACCTGAGCTTCTAAGTGTCTAGGCTGAAAGTCTGTTCTTTCTGCCCCCTCCCTTCAAGAACAAACAAACAAACAAAACTCTATTTTTTCTTTTTTTTAGGATTCTTCCCTGTTGCATAAAGTAGCTCCTTCTTTTACGTGTCGTGAGGGATTTGAGAGAATCGAGGCAATATTTCACCTCAGGATTCACCTTTCCAGATCACCCTGCCCCCGCCACCAGACACAACGTTGAACCCCCCCCCCCCCCCCAACATCTCCCCACAGGGGGACCATGCAGACCCTCCCTCTCAGGTGTCAGGAACGATTCCTTGGCGCCCGGGACCACCTTCCCCACGGCCTCCAGCTGCCCGGCAGGCCCCGGGAACCCCGCGCGGCGGCGCCGGCCGGGTACCTACCAGTCGGTGTGCGGCTCGTCGACGACCAGCAGCACCTTGGCCTTCCTGGCGGCGGCGGGCGCGGGCGCGGGCGCGTCCACCAGGCCGGCCGAGGCTGCCGTCTGCTTCACCGCTTGGGACAGCGAGCTGAAAAAACTGCTGCCCACCGATGGCGCCGCGGCCGCCTGCGGCGCGGGATGCGACGCGGGCGCCGGGGCCGGGGCCGGGGCCGGCGGCGGCCTCCGCTCGGGGCCCGGCGAGACGGCCGGGGGCGCCGAGGAGGCCGAGGCCGCGCCCGGACCGGGGGGCGGCGGCGGCGGCTGCTGGGGCTCGGGCCGCTGCAGGTCGGTCATGTAGCCATTGGGCAGGTTGGCGATGAAGCTGCTGTCCGACAGCCGGCGCCTCAGGAAGTTCATCATCTGGCTTGAGGGGCTGGGGGCGCGCGGGGCGGCGGGGTCGGACGGCGCGGAGGGCGAGACTGAGGCGGCGGCGGCTGGGGGACTAAGGTGGCTGAGTCGGCTGCGGCCGGGTTCGCGGCGCGCGAGCCCAGCAGACAGCCGCGGTGCACTGGGCCGGGCGGGCCGGGCAGCGCGAGGCGCCGCGCCAGGGAGCGGGCGGGGGCCGGAGGCGGAGCCACTTTTCGCCCCGCCTCTCGCCGCAGAGCCGGCACCGCCCCCTATTCGCTGCCTACGCGCCCCGCACCTAGCGGTGGGGTCCCTACTCTGGAGATTTGGGGACAGGGGGATTGCCAGGTCTCCTGCAACCTGAGCGGAGTTCTGTGGAGAGAGTGTGGGAGCCAGTCTTGCTCCCTAGAATAGGGAAAAAGCCGAGACCCCTACCACATTTTTGGTTGGGGATAAAAGAGCCATGTCCCACCCAGAGATGGAGGCGAAGAAAACTGTCCCCACTCCCTTTCGAAGGAAGAGAGGTGTCAGCCTCCCGAGCCTGAGGTGAGAATGGACCCATTCCCCTGGTGCGCGCGCGCATACACACGCACATACTCCCTGTAATGGGAAAGAAAAGAACCGCCTCTTTTCCCAAAGCTGGGAGAAAGGTGCCATCTCCTCAACCTCCAAGTGATGGAGGAAAGAATAATCTGCCCACACACGCGCGCGCGCGCGTTTACACACACATACACAACACACACACACACTCATATGATGAAACAAAAGAACTACTCCTTCCTCAATATTAAGTGAGAAAGACATCCTCACCCCCCACCCGCCACCCCCACCCCTTCATCCTTTTGGTGACAGAGATTTGACAGATCTTCCACTGGGTCTGTGGACGCATTTTTGGTGCCTGCACTTTAGGGATGGCTCACTTACGAGCACCTTCTCTTCCCATCCTCATGAACCAGAGAGGTGAAACCGTGCATAAGGCTGGAGACCCCTCCCCCCAAGTGGGGTATCTAAGGGTCCCCACCCTTTCTGTGCTTGCCTTCCTGATAGGCAGTGGTGCGTCCTATATTGTACCAAGAAGTTTATCTCTTCAAATATCTTTCTATATGTTTTTTCCAGTTCATTAATTGGCTAGATCTCTTTCCACCTCCATGAAGACCTCTGATTATCACCTTTCCATGTGCACTCCCTAAATCTGTTTTGACTTCTGGACCTTTGTTTTCACCTCTCATGAGATATATACTTAATCCATGTGTTGTATGGGAAGAGGACACAGCAGATATAGTACTTTACATTCAGCCCACTCGGGGTGATGTGTGACCTCAGGCAAATTAGCCTCTGAGCTTCTTTTCCCTATCTGATAAAAGGAGATAATGCTTTTAAAAAAATTATTTTAGTATAATTGACACACAATGTTACATATTAATATCAGGTGATTATAGTGATTCAAGGAGTTTATACATTATGCCATGGGGAGATGAAACTTTTCAAAGTTGTTACACAGAATAAATTGTGTATATAAAGCACCTGGCACACAGTAGATATTCTAGTAGCAGTGGCTTGATTCTTATTATGTGAACTAGTTCTCAGTAGGTATCTGTTGGACTAAACAGAATCAGTGAACATCTTGTCACTAATACTGACAGGCAGTTCTTGAGTCCTGCCTCCCAGCTGGCACTCAACTTGGGACCTATAGATGCACAATTGGGCTCTGAGCCAGAGACCTAGTGATGTTCAAGAGGCCTCCAGCCAACTATAATAATACAGTGGTCTTCCCATCCACCTTGTGCCAGGCAGTGGTAAGTGCTTGATAGACTGATATAAACGCAAAGTAGATCCTGTCTGTGGAAAGTTCACAATCTATGGGAGCAGAGAGCAGGAAAGATAGACACAGGAACGATTTACTACAAGAATATGTGAGAAATGCTGTAATATCGTTGGGCTAAATGGTTTAGGGACACCAAGGAGTGAGGGATGCATTCTGCCTATGAGGTTTAGGAATGGCTTCTCAGAGAAGGTGACATTTGAAGTGAGTCTTAAAGCAGCTATAAGACTACCAGCAGAGAAGTAGGGAAGGCATTCTGGCAGAGAAGGCCTAGAGGAATGCTAGTTGATGACTCCCCCAGGAAGCCTTCCCTCAATCCTCCACGGTAGACGAAGTGTTTCAGATAGACAGTGTTTCATGGTAGATAAAACCTGAGTCTGGTTTGGTCATAGCCCCTTAAAAAATTTATGATAAAATATTCTGGTGGCTTGAATGTATGCTTTTCAAAGAGAGGATTATGTTTGAGCCATCTTGGACCCCAGCATGAAGCATGGTCCTTGGCCTGCAATAAGGACTCAGCTGTTTGAGAGACGAACTGTACTCTTATCCAACTCAGCTCTTGTGTCTATTGGAGAATAAAACTGATAACTTCACTAATAACTAAATAAACTTATTTTAATGTACTGCCCTTCCTAGAAGTATTTTTTAGAGTATCAGATGAATCTTTTCCAAAGGATAAATCTCTTGATGGGATTTCATATACTTTTATCACTTCCATTTTTCAGATGTTTGGGTTATCTTTTTTTTTTCATGTTTCACTAAGTAATTCCACTTAACCATGAAGCTAGTAGTGTATGTATCATATTTTTAAATCAACCAGTTAAAAAACATGTTGTGAGTATCTAATACATGCAGGGTATTATGCTAAGCACTCATGGATAAAGAAGATTCAAGAATAAATAAAACCCAAGTTACACCCTTAAGAAGACAGCTCGTAAACATGTGAACACATAACCAGCAATAGCAGAGCAGTTGGTGAATGACCAGAAAGTGGAGCAGGCAGTGAGTGTTAAAAGAGCCAGAGGAGGGGGCACCTGGGTGGCTCAGTGGGTTGAGCCTCTGCCTTCAGTTCAGGTCATGATCTCAGGGTCCTGGGATCGAGCCCCGCATCTGGCTCTCTGCTCCACAGGGAGCCTGCTTCCCCCTCTCCGTCTGCCTTCTGTTCTGCCTACTTGTGATCTTTCTCTCTCTGTCAAATAAATAAATAAAATCTTAAAAAAAAAAAAAAGAGCCAGAAGAAGAAAAGATCTGAGAGATAAGAGGATTTCACAGGGGAGGTAGGACTCAGTCCTTATGAAATGGGTGGAATTCGGATACCCAGGACAGGGTGGAGAAAACAAGACAGAGAGGCTAGGAAAAGCAAAGACAGGGAAACTAAACTGGGTAAGTAGTGAGAATGTATTGATCTATTCCTTGAAGGCAAAGACCTTACCTATCACTATAGTTTTTGAACCTTAGAATAGTTCCTGGCCTGAAGCATGCCCTTACATATTTGTAAGGAGGCTCTGCAGGTTGTACTTGTATGTTTATGTTGCTAGTGTCTATCCAGGTTTCTTTTTAAGTAGCAAGTACCTCAAGGTGAGGGATTCTTCTTCTGCTCCTCTCAAAATGTTGTACAAAGCCTGATACAACATCTAACACACACTTGGTATCCCAGTCTTGGGTGCTAGACCAAAATATGCCCAAAGAACTCCTTCAGTTTAGATTCCCTCATTGATACAATGGAAGCCTATAAGATCATTGAAAAATATCTATCAAATACTCCATGGATTTATTGTTACTTTCTGGTAGGTTTTAATAAGAATATTATTCTTATGGGAAAATAGACCATTTTCTTATAATTGGGAATGTATGGTCACTAATCAGTTGTATATAAGCAGAAGATTTTGATTAGTTGACATAACTGTAAATCACAACTGCTTAAACTAATATTTTCTATACGCTAAGTTCTTGCCAAGAAGTGTCGGTGCAGCATGCAAAGACACGCTTATAAGTGGGCTTGTGTTTTTAATGAGCCATAATGAAAATCTTTCCTTTATCCCTACCTGCGAATCCAGGTTCCAGATGCAGGAAGAATATAGCACTTTCAGTCTATCTTATGTCCTGCCTTTTTTCTGGAATTGAAGGGGAAACAGGGCTTGAAAATTCTATAAAATATACAATTCTGGCACTGTTCAGGCCTTTTCTGTCTTTCTCTGAGACCAACCAGCCATTCTCATCTCTAGGTAGAAGGCATTTTTCCCAAAGCAATTGGTGGAAGGGTCTCCCTCACTTTTCTGAATCACTCAGGGTCCAACTAAGCCAAATATCAGAATTTCAGAGGTCTCTACCAGTTTTAGAAGCCCAGGACTCTGTAAGGCCCTTCCTTGCATAATCTTTATCTTCCCACTGAATTGTAAACACAGGCACACATCTGGCGACTGCAGATGAAAGAATCCTGCTAAAATCAGGAACCAATTTAAATGCTTTATCGCCTCTCTGATTTCTCTCTTCTCCTGAACAACAATGCAGCAGAGAATGCTCACAGGGAGAAAGGCAGGCAGAGCTCAAAAACAGCTTAAAAGGAAAAGCTGGCATACCAAGCCACCTGACCAAACACTTGTTGCCCAGGTGTCCTCTCAAACAAGGAAGTATCCTTGAACATGCCACCTTTGGCCTTTGCTCGCTTCTCAGGATTGGGGGACCCCATTCAGGCCCATCTGCCCTAAAGAGATGTAGAAGGTATTTGGAATTCCAGAAACTGTTAAGTTCCATCACTACTTGGCTTTGTGATTTTCAAAAAGTTGCTCAGCTTTCTAGGCCTCTTACGTAAACAGGGAGGGACAGGTGTGCCTTGAGCCTCTCAGGAGATAATATGGGACCACTTTGAAAGTGAAAAGGTTAACCAGAAAAGGCATCAATATTGCTTTCCACACTCATGTTACCTGTCATTCGGAGAACCCAATTGAATTGAGTTTGTCACCTTCATTCAGGTGGCCCTTCTTAATAATCAGCCCTGTGGATAACCTTCTTCATTTGCCTCTGGGTAGAGGACAGCTTTGTCCCTGACGTTGAACTCTCCAAAGATGGCCATGTCAGCTGGGCCAGTTTGCTATGATTAGGAATCACACAAATATAAGTTTAATTCCTAAATCTACCTCATGGTAACTGTGTAACTTTGAACAGATCATTTCTAGCCTCAGTTTTCTCATCTGTAAAAGAAAGGTGTGATGATCATAATGACCTTGAGGGCTATTGTGAAGACTAAATAAGATCAAGTCTATGAGTGTATTTTATAAGCAGTAAAGCCCTGTGCA